GTATCAAGGCTTCACACTCCAAGCAGTCACCACAAAACCCCTGTACCTGCAAATCCCAGGGTCTTCCATAGTTAAGGTTGCCTTCAATTTCCTAGTCATGCTTAAGACACTTCTAAAGCTAAATGCTTTATTTTTAAATACTACCATTCTTAGGCATGAGTGAATTGTGAGCTTTTCTGCTACACTGAACAACCACATCAAATGATCATGTTCAGGCTTTTAAAAATAGTTTCAAAAGGGGCTCCAGCCCTGCACACACCTCCCTGAGAACCTGCTGCACCAGCACGTGCCAGAAAAGAGCAGGGAGCGCACCGAGATGACCAAGAAGGTGTGCACAGGTAGGAACTGGCTGGTTCTGACAGCCAGGACCTGGTATCAGGTCCTAGAAATGCATAAACCACTGGAATCAGTGGACCTCACTTCTCAACACCGAAATGGCCCTCAGATGTGGCGACTCAGTAAAATAAGATGATATTGTTATAACCAAAAATGCATTCACACATGCAAACACACATAATAGGTGTGTATGGGTGGATACATCTACTATATATATATATATATATATATATATATGTATAAATAAATAAATAATAAAAAAATATATATAAAAATAGATTCATTGTATAGGTAAAAGGTGTCCACATATCTGCATGTGCTTCCATGAGTCCATAGAGACCCTGAGGCACTCAGCATATGCAAACACCCAGCAGCCCTTCAAGCAGGTCCTGGCAATTCCATCTTAACCACAGCCCCCTTTAGCTGCACAGAAGAGTTCAGGGACTCGCCCAGTGGCACACAGCAAACCAAGGGAGAAGCCAGGAGAGCTCATCTGAGCTGCAGCTCAGCCTCCTGGCCTGGTCACACACTAAGCCTGTATCATGTCTCCCCGTGCTGCCAGCCACGTCCTCTCCTTAAAGAGCAGCCAGTAAGCACTCAGCCCCTGCATAAGCCCTGCCACCATGCATAATCACACACACAGCCTGTCATTGGAATCTATGTCTTATAATTAGGTCCACACAAATGCTGAAACTTCAAAATAGAGTTTAGAAGGGTTTCCAGTACATCTGATGCCACAGGCATCACAGTTCTGCCTCTGGACTTACCAGCTGCTGCTCCAAGGCTTGGGCCAACTGTTGCTGCCAAAGGATGTTCGGATGATGTGAGAAACTGGAACATTGAGAAGGGAGTTATTCGTCATCTTTGATGTTGGAACTTCAAGGGAAGCGCGGGCTCCTCTCCCAGCCATCAGCATGCTCAGAGATCAGCCCTACCTTGATGTTTGCTCTGCTGCTGCTATGGCTCAGTTTGATTTTAGGCATGGCTTGGCTGTAAAAGGGATGCAAACATGGCACACCAGTCACTATCCAGAATGAGAAGTGCACAAATATCTTTACAAGTCTGTTCTCTATCGGATTCCAACCCTTTCCAGATGAAGTTACAAATAGATTATTCAATCTAATTTTTTTTTACTCTTAAATATGACCTTTTAAGATAAAGTGATTCCAGAGGGCTTCCAGATGACTTGCCATTTTCAGTGCTGATGGCATACAGACACTGCTAGTGTGAAGAGCAGGAGCCTGCAGGGCAAGGACCATCATGTTCAATATTGTAAGGAACATAGATTTTACCCAAGGACACCAAAATCAGTTTTTATGCTACCAACAAACTCAGGAAGAATGCTTATATAGGAGATGAATATTAGCTTGGTTTTAAAACTGAATTTTCAACAAAATTTTAATTTAAACACAGGATTACAGGAAGAAGGGGAGCAGATTCCCTCTCCAACCATTCATAGTCCTATCCTGATGTGTTTTGTTACCATGGTGGTATAGATGAACTTTTGGCCCTTATAAAGTCACATGAGATTCTCTAGAGTCATCTGGAAAACTGTAAAAGGATCAGGCATTTCTCCTGCAGCCACACCTCTCTCCAGTTTGGATATGCTGCGGGAAACCAGCCCTGGTGGCACCAGCAGCCACAGCCATTTTTCTTCTGGACTGGGAATCCCAGCCCTGGGAATGAGACACAAAGTGCTCACCATTTCCAAACTGAGGACATGCACGGGCACCAGCACCAATTCTCTTCCCCATATCTTCTCATATCAAGCAATTTCTCTACACTGCCCACCAATGAAGACACGCTTTTTAAAAAATCCTTTGTAAAGTCTACATTAGACATAAAGTCTTGCAGTTCTCTTCCACTTTAAAAAGGAAAAGAAGTGTAAAGCTCATAGTCAAAATCACCTTCAGCCAAACCCCCACTGTCAGACAAGCACATCATAGTGGATTTTGGATTGATGAACTACTGTATTTTAGTTTTTCTGCCAAAGCAACATGGGTCTCATCAGCAGGAAAGGGAATAGAGTGAGACAGAAAAGAGAGGCAGCGCAGCACACTGCACCTAAGCAAGGGCTGCCAACAGGAAAAAGGGCACTCGCTCTCTCGGAGGGCAAAGGCACAGCTGTACGCGAAGGACAGGCAAAGGCGCACACAGACGGGAGCAGAGGTGGAACTGGGAAAGGCATGCTAGCAGGGAGCGCTTCTGGAGGGCTTGGGGGGAGAAAATGCGGGCAAGGACTGAGCAAAAATGGTGAGATTATCATGCACACACCGAGGCAGCAGAACCAGCTGCACCAGTTTTCTGGGAAGTGACCCACGGCACAGGGACACAATGCGTGGATGGGCCAGAAGAGAGAGCTTGAGGAGAAACACTCATGTGGCTCTTGCCACACCCATGCATATTTCTCATTTTTGACAAGATCGCACATTTCTGAGTTGTAACATTTATGATGATGACCTCATGGAAGAGCAGCCTCCATCCTGGGGGTCTCTGACTCTCCCTGGCTTCCTTTCCATGCTGCTGGAACATCAGACAGCAGCATTTCTGATCCTGTGTCCCCTTTGGAAATGCCCTTCCCATGCCCGGTGCCCTCCCTAGACCAGCCTCTGCAACCGCCCCCACCAGCTACCCCTGCACTGTCTCTGGGCTTCTGCACATCCACCAGTAAAATAAAAAAAATAAATAAATTCACACTGCAGGCGGAGTTCATCCCCATACCTTCTAGAGCTGGTACTCCTAGACAGGATTATATCTGTATCACTGAGATCTGTTTGTATGGCACCCACCACATATCAGCTCTCAAGGCTGCTGGAACAAGGTTTAGAAGTTAATTTTAGTACACATTGCTCTCTTTCACACAGACACACACCCATGTGCACGCACACGTGCAAATACACACTTTCAGAGGGAGAGAGTTTTAATACTGAAAACTTATTTTAACTTTCAATTTATTTAAGACTTAAAGAGTTTAAGCCAGATTTATTTTGGGTGACAAGTATTTCTTACATCTAAAGGATAAATATTGTCTCCTATTTTAACAACATCTCTTCCCTTTGATTTTCTCACACATGTTGTATTTAACTAATAGAGTAGAAATACCAAAACAATGGAATATCCAGGATTAACTCAGCAAATGCCATTAGATTTTGTGCAGGCATAGTATAGAAATGGCACAAAAAACTTGGGATCCTTAAGGATCATTTCCAGTGATTCGTTTTCAAAACTAAGGGATTTTTAATACTTGAAAAATTCAATATATTTCATGGAGTCATTACATTTTGTACAGTTCTGAAATAATGCCAATTTTGCAACTTAATTTGTTAAAATGATAATAAACGAGAAGGCTGTCACTTGACAGGGAAAAACTATCTCTTTTTTCTGTTATCTGTTTTGCTGTAAGGTTAATTCTTTATATTTTGTATTTAAATTAATTCGGATTTCTTTCATAATAGGGGGCTTACTATATTATGGAATTAGTAAAGAAATGGGCAAAAAAGACAGGAAGAGAAGGAGGGGGAGAGGAGAGGGTAGGAAGAGATCAATTAAATAATTTTTTTGTCAAAAATCAGATATGCACATATTTTAGTTTGGAGAACATATGCTGCTCTTGATGCAGATCCAAAACTGAGGCAGTGCATTGAACAAAATAAAACCAGCTCTGTAATCATTAACAGAGACATATTCGTGAGGGCCATTTCCTGTAGAAAATGCCACTCTTATTTTCTTTCCTGTATCTTACTCCAATCCCCTTAGCAGAGAAGAGGAGGAAGAGACCAAGTTGCAGCTTGTGCTCAAGTCATGACCAGCATCGGTTTTTTTGCCTATTATCTCACGTCTTGGAATGTTCTGGGTGGCCTCTGGCAGGCCAGACCCACTGGGAGTCTTCTCCAATGTATTGGCCACATTCATGAGTTTCAAGAAAAGCAGGAAAGGGAGCCAAATTTGCCAGCAGATGCAATCTATAATCACTTTTTGGGCTGGATGACAAAATAAATCAGGCTCCATTGGCATATTGCACATAGACACTGCAACCTGCAGGAACAGGCAAAACACAAACAACAAAGAGGAATAGTGAAGTGTTTTGCTTTAAAGCCATAGAAAAAATATGGGGGGTGTATCTGAAGAAAGGTGATGGTTCAACCTTGATTTGAGAATTGTTGACCTTCTTGCTTTTGGGGATTTCTTTTTGCACCAGAGCCAAGGAGAAGTAGACACAACTAGTTTAGTAGAAAATTAAGAGAAAATTAGCTACTTGGGCAAATATTTGTAGGATGGGGAAGAGGGGAAAAAGGCAGGGGAGAAAGTCACTAACCAGTAGAATAAGAGTAAAGCTGTTTGATAAAGCAGGGAGAGACATCAGTTCTTGATGACTAAAAGACCAAATTGTGGTTTTGGGATTACAAATCAGCTATATGAGCAGAGATGCATAAGCTGCCCCTACACAGCTAGTAGAAGCTGAATTTTTAGGAATATTTTCAGAGTCAATTTAAAGATTGGGAAAGGCAGATACATACTTTCCAGCTCTTATTTTATACTGATTGTTATGATTTGCTTCTCTCACTGTCCTATTTCTCTTTAAAGAAGGAACTAGGAGGATCAAGGTTTCTCATAAAAAGCCCAATAATTCTTTTTGTTTGTTCCTTCATAGGGGCATAAACCATCAACTTGTGATTCTGCAAAGAGTGACCAGGAACACTAAGAAATTACAGTATCAGACACCTACAGTAACTTATTTGACACTATCCCTCCCCATCGCCATGCCACCATCAAATATCTGTGATACCTGCACTTACCAGATGCCACAGAAGGTGTTTGTGTGCCATGGATGGGGCCCTCATCCCCTCAGGGGAGTCTGAAAAATGCAGATTATTGCCAAGGAGAAGATGCAGGTCTCCCATAAGTCCTCCAGGTTCAGGGTTCCACGCTCCTTTTAGTGAGATAAGTGGAAAGATGCACTCACCTCTTCAGGTACATCAGCTTCATGCACCTTGGATCCAATGAGGGAAACATCTAAACACACCCAAGAGAACCATGAACATTTCTGTCTGCATGTTGGTTTGAGGCACAGGGCTCCCTCCTAAGTCTGATATTATATTTATGTCAGTACAAGAGAACTCTTCTACTAAAGAAAACCCTCTGAAGGAATCAAAATGAGAAACCAACCTTTTGCTGTATTCAAATTGCTCTAGAAATTTGGACATAGCTCTTCTTTAAAAAGGTAAAGTTTTTTTAAATTGCTACTTTCTAAAGTGGTATTTAATATTATTTACATTATGGAAGAACCCCACTGCCCCAGTAGGCTCAGAGGGACACTGTATTAGTCATGATGCAAATACAGTGATACAAAGACATGACCCATGCCCCAGAGAACTTTTTATCAGTCCCTAATTAACCTCTTCATGATCCTTGAAGCCAGAATAATCAATGGGTCTCTATTCTGACTTTCAATTCATTCAGCTGGGGAAGGAGAAGGATCTATAGGAAAATTATTTTTAAAAAATATGACTTCTAAATTACCTCCTGTGTGGGACAGCCCTGTAACAAACTATCCTGAGTCTGCCAAATTACTCCTGTTCTAAATAACCAGCTCTCCTTGTACAGCTTCTGCTGCATGAAAAGGCTTCATTTGTATTTTACTATTATGAACAGTCAAGAATTCAGTATCACATGAATGGGAAGCTTCTAGAAAACTTAAATATGCTTCATTGAGCTTGATGAATGGCTGACTGTTGCATTGTTCTAAGATATACTAATATAGTAGAAATGTGATTTTACTATGATTAAGCCCCATGCATAGGATTGAATAGGAATATTCTCCACCCTGAAGAAAATGTCTATTGACATATCAGCGAAAAAATCTGGGATTTTCAAAAGGTCCATTTGCTCTCAGCAAAAATTCAGCCCTTAGCGAACCTTAGGCACACCTGATCACTGAGATTCCCAGCTCATGTCTGCACAAACAGTGTATCTAAATCCAAATTGAATGGCTGGAACCCCTCTCTGGCAGTGTCACCTTCCTCCACTCCCTGTTATAATACAAGGATTGCTTTTGTTTGAGGGAAAGAGGCAAGAAAACACTCCTCACGAGCACTCTCAGCAGTTCTGCAGGAGGACAGAGCCGGCTGCCTGCACCGCTGGATGAGTGCTTTGGAAGCTCAGCTCAGGAGAAATAGGATGACATTAAGGGCAGTGACTGGGTAGGTACAAGAGCAGGTATGAAAAGAGAGAGGTGGAGTAATTAATTGAAGTAGTGGTGCCCAATGGATTTTAGATAATAGATGTCATTAAGGGTGATTCAGAAGATTGAATTGTACAACACAAATCAGTGTGGAAGCTGTGGAACAAACCAAGTAGGGAGAAGCATCACTTTGCTACTTACAGTAGAGAAGTGTTGGTGTGCTTTGTGCACTGCCATCTCTAAAAGGGACTGAGCTAACAAGAGAGATGATTAGTTTTCTCAGGGCAGAGGTTAAGGATGTTAGCGAGAGGGTTGATATGTTATAGTCAAGAGAACTGGGAATGAATCCTCTATTTGTGCATGTGGAAATTAAATGATAACAGAAAGGCAGCAAGAGATGTTTCAAAAGAGGTTGCAACCTGAAAGGAGAGAAAACTACATTTGTGGTACTGTACTAGTTCTTCGTATAAATTCCTAAGTAAATCTTTGCAAACTTGCCCATGCAAATGACTTTTTTGGCTGGCACCATTTGCAAATGCCAGATTTAAACAGTGAAATTTACCTGGCTACAGCTTTGACTTAGAGGAGAATATTGCAGAGGAAGCTGGGGGACACAGGGACAGACAACACATTACATGATTTTGAGGCCAGTTTCATTTTATAGAGCACCTTTGTCCTGCAGGCTAAATAAAATGGGTTACAAGTAGTGTCAGGCATCAGCAGGGAAGCCAGTGGCAGCCCATGACAGTGCTCATGTGCTCAGCAATGTGTGTTCTATCATGGACATCACCATCATTTATAAGCACAAGGTAATTGTTGGCTAGAAAGCTGCAATAATTGCTTCCTTTTCTGAGAAGGTTTTATTGTCTCCAGCATCTGCTGTCTGAGACTGGGGCCAAGGCTCCCACTTGCCTCTCTTACATCTTGCCTCTGCAATGCCTGAGCACGGCCACCGAGGGGATTGGGCCTCTGAAGGTGGTGGG